TACATGTTAAAGGTTCTATCATCTAGTTATCCAACTTCATTGAAATCCTAATTTATACTAATTAATATATTCCTTAAACATTATTTAAACCTTCCGTGTAGAATTATTTTCAAGTCGAGACTTTGTAATCCGTTACACTTTAGAATGTTGGAATATTTATATCTCCAATATTTGGGTTATTTTCCAAGAGCTATTTATTTCATTGGTGCACTTTATTAATTAATGTAACTTTTATTAAATTGTACTGGTTTATTTCGCTTCCAAATTTTCACTTCATGATACATGTAAATCATTTCTGATTTATATGTTCATTTCCCATGATCTATAGTTTACTATTTTACAATATTAAGTTAATTTGTCACAAAGTTATTTTCGGGAAGCCAAAAGAGTTTCTGGTCACAACACTGGATTGAGCAAAAACCCAGTTCAGTCCCATACCCAAAATTATTAAATTGGTTAGTATCAGAGAAACAGAGCATTTATGAAAGTGATAATACAAAACAAACACTATTTTACAACTTTCCTCTTAAGATCAGAGCCCAATGCAATTTCAGGGGCACCAACCCTGCTCTGGATTGTGACCTCCTGGTGCTTGAAACAAGTTGCAGATTCTTGTTGCTTTGATGATCTGGATGTTGATGCGCACCTAATGTTACAATTCATCTGCAGAGTTGCAAATTGGTCACAGAGCCATCCTTACCCTAGAGGTGTGATCATTGCAAGTGACTTTTCTCTGATATGAGATTAGTGAAAACATCCTTGATGATTGATGCAATCTCAGTGAACTCCAGAGCTTTGTGCCCCCCACAATTCAGTTGCATCATTGTATCATCAAGAGCACCATGGTCAGATTAGTCTTGTGTACATGAGGAACATGTGAGAATGACTGTAAAGTGTTCAAGGTATTGTGCATGCCTTGACAATTGTCAAATTTCTGATAATCAAACATCACATTTTGAAATATTTCTTTTTCAACAGTGTGCTGCCTTGACATCTTGTAATTATAATAATATAATAAAATAATAGTATTATTATTAAGATTATGCAAAGCAAAATATTATCAATATTATCAATCAATTCACATCTGTCCTACCAAAAAAAACCAATAGGATAAATAATTAATGTGTACACATCGATCAAATCACAAACTTCTTTTTCTTATTTTATAAACATGCCCAGAAGAAATAATAAAAGAAGTAAATGAGAAGATGAAGAACTTGAAAAAGGAAAAGTGTTTTAAGGATGGTGGTGGTTATCACCTGCCACTTGTTGTTACTCTAGATTTTTTGAAAAATTGGCAAAAAGTTCAGCAACTAAATGACTTGCACTATACAGATAAAGAAAATAAGTCTGAAGCTTTGGTTGATGTTGTTGCAAAAATAATTCCAGATTTTGGAATGTCTTGTAATAAAGTAACTATTACTATCTAGAATTATGATTTGGTAATTCTGGAAAAATCAAAAAAAAATTTTTTAGAGGATTTAGAAAAAATTAAAATGGAAATGGAACTGCTCTATGAAAGATCACCAAAAAGTAAGATACTTTATTAAAATTATTTTATTTTGGTTAATTAACTAATTATTTGATATCTTTATTAGTGATTATATTAGAATTGGAGTAATAGACCTACAAGATACTTCTAAAAACCATTCAAATATTTACAAATATGTTAAAAACAAATTAACTGATAATTGGGAATGGTATAAACGATTTGAGGGGTATATAGCATCAGGAAAATGGGTACAAATATTATGTGTATATAATATGCAATTGCAGGGATTAAGCATATAATATATGTACAAT